TGGTTCTATTGTGTAAGTGTATCTAGGCCTCGGGAACACTCAGTCACGATCGCGAGTCGAACGAATCCCATTTACACATACAAACGCACCTCTCGGTACAGGTCACTACTACAATCAAAGCGAAACCTTCACCGTGAAATGGAATAACTATACTATGAGAGTGTGTATTTCTGAGAGAATTCAAAAGAGTCACATATTAAACGACTTCAAAATCAAAAAAGCTTCAGAAGTCGGTGCTAAAACACAGTGTATGCCTACTTCAGAACTATTATACGGAAATTATTTTATTCTTTTTAGGTATTTATAGATGAATCATACTTTTCATCCAAAATTTATTTTGACATTAGTGAATTAACGAAGGCAATGCTTATGCTTACACAAGTAGCGAGCTTTGAATTTGAACTTTCACAAACTTTACTTTGCATTAGAATTCTTAGTTTTATACCCTAAATCATAAGATTATCACATTATACACATTTTGTGTCTAATTATACAATCAGGTAGTCCTGCATTTTAGATATTTTACTGAATATAATTTTATTTGTGACGAATATGCTGTACAAATAAATTAATTTAGTCATCACTGGTAGAAAACTATTAACTTATAGGGTATAATTATAATTTTATTTAAATCGTATGGTAATTTACAATGTTGTGTTGATCCCTACATTAACGTATGGTAGTGAAAGTTGGGTGTGGCAGAAGAAGCACGAGAGTAGAATGAACGCAGTAGAAATGCAGTTGTTAAGGAGTATGTTGGGGCTGAATCTGAATGACAGGGTGAGAAGTTGTGTGATAACAGAAGAGTGTGGTTTGCAAGATGATGTTGTGACCAGGATTAAGAAAGGAATGCTTCAGTGGTTTGGTCATGTAGAAAGAATGAATGAGGAAAGAGTGACAAATAAAATTTATGTTGCAGAAGTGAATGGCAGAGTCGGAAAGGGACGTTTTAGGCGAAAATGTATCGACCAAATTGGCGATTTATGGAAAACGGGCCAAATTAGGAGTACCCTTAACACCGACGAGCGTGTATGCGTTGGTATATGGATGTGAAGGAGGCGAGAGAGGTGTGTCAGGATCGTGCCAAATGGAAGTCTGTAGTCTCTGCCTACCCCTCTGGGTGATATATATATATATATATATATATATATATATATATATATATATATATATAATATAGCTAGAGCTATCTATTCATCCATGGTTGCTAGGTAGTATTTCTGCAGTACTAGCCTATATTAGACCGAATTTGCGCTTAAAACAGGTGCGAAGACCTTGCTTCCTTGCGAGCCCCCAGGAGATATACTCAATAAACTACCCAAAGCTGAAGCTCGAAGAATCTAAAACCCGACATGCCTAACCGTTTTTACTGGTAGCAAGGTATTCCATCTATGTGCTCGGGGATGAAACGCATCTGCATTTTGATTCTCAAGGCAGGATATAGGAATATATGCGCATCTACCTACTAGCGGGTAGTCTTCGGCTTCGTTATCATCCACACTTGCACATATAAATGTGACTTTCCTTAATATTATTGTTGTAAAAGGAGTTTAACGGTATTTCCCTACAGCTATTTCCTATAATGATTTCTTAAATTTACGCGAATATTACACATTGAATAAAACTAAATTTACGGATTTAATCGCGTTTATTTAACTGATTTTACTTATTTTTAATTCTCGACGTTTCGGGTGCTTTTCAGCACCCATGGTCACAGGGGGACTGAGATGTTTGATGTCCCAATGTCATAGTTAGCCCGGCTACCTTCAGTTTTTTAATATTAATTTTTCGGTCCGATTTACGTAAAACGAGCTTACAGTATCTTGAAGTCTTGCAGTGGTATGCTTGGGTTTGGGTTTAATTTTGTTAATTATAGGATCCCAAGCAGATGGCAGCACCCGTCCATCCTCTCTATTGAAATTAGGATGTTTTTTAATTTCAATAGCCTCGCTTATCAAAAAATAAGTAAAATCGGTTAAATAAACGCGATAAAATCCGTAAATTTAGTTTTATTCAAAGCTATTTGCTAGAAGATGAATTCCTGAAGAAGATGCATGCCTTATGAGATATTTCTATTCTTTTTATTTAGCTCCTATTCCATTTGATTTCAACAAAAGAGATATTTTTAACGTGTAGTATTAAATGTTGAAATATATAAAGCTTTCTTTATGCGTTGTAAGGGATTTCTTATCTGCTCTGAACGCGTAAGTTTAAGCTTTGTTTGTATTCAAGATGAAAGCTGATATCACTCAGCAGCTAAGCGTCTTCGCTTTAGAAATCTGATTACACGCGTCGTATCGTATGGTTTATTCATGAATAAAAGTCGTCGTCTGCACATCTTATACATGACGTAGAAATAAATGCTAGTGTAATTTTTTTATGAAACATCTACATGACTTAATCGATTGTGATGAAACTTAAAGAACAGATAATATACATACATGGTATTAGTAATCTGGGCTATTTTTATCCGAAACTTGAACTTAAAAAAAAAACTAAAAAAATTGACTTTGATAATCTCAAATCCAGGCGAAGCCGAGGCGGGTCGCTTATAACAAATAAAATAAATAAATAAAATTAAAGTGTCTATTTGTAATGTCAAAATACAAGCTTTTTACTAAATGCTTATGAAATATATACGGCACTTATAACAAAAACTCAATTTTTAAAATTATTGTCTGTCTGTCTGTCTTTTTGTTCCGTATAATATCCGAAACGGTTGGACCAATTTTACAGGTAGCTGATGTTATAAAGAGTGACTTAAGCTACTTTCAATTTAGAAAAAGAATATTGGGGTTCCGCGCTATAAAATTACAACGAAGAACAAGAAAACGAAGTTGCGAGAAACAGCTAGTATTGAATAAAATTTATAAAAATAATATAGACTTTGTTGTATAAGTAATAACAGTGTAGTATATACCTCCAATACTGTTTTTTTATAGATTAAGAACTGTTACCAAGCGCGTCGCTGCCGCAGAAGAAATAATTGTGAAAATATCGTTTTAAATTTGGAAGAGTTATGTTGTTTAACTAGGGATGATAATTTTTTGAAAGTAAATGATCTGACTTAATATAGCTCCATTAAAAGCCATTTGGTCTGTGGTTCGGTGAAAATTGTCCAATTAATGAGAGATAAAACAATTTATATATCTGGGACATATTGTTATAGAAGCGGAACGGAGGACGTTGGCAGAGCAAAGTAACGTGTTTGTCCGCACATTTTGTTCTTGCTCAAAATAAAAAGAAATCACTATTTTTAAGACCTACTGTCAAGTATTCTACTCAAGCAGTCTGTAAGTAAATTACACACACAAAACCATCAATGCTTTTCATATCTAATATACCAATGCTCGCAGAATGCTGTTGAGGCTGCTTTGATTTGGCAGTGCATCTAAAATATCATTGCTACGGAGTATACGGTCAGGGGAACATCACTTAGAAACAGTAGTAAAGTTACAGCCTATATAAGTCCACTGCTGAACATAGGCCTCCACCATAAAAAGAAACTGCAGTAGATTTGAAAAAAAACGGCAATTGAAAAAATAATTTCTTAATTCTATTACTTCAAAAATATTATTTATTTAATTTCATTTAGACGCACACGAAAGTACATGGCTTTATGGCGTATCAACGATGCAACCAATTTATGTATTTATACACCATAAAATAAAACGGCCAACTTAGTCGATTAGGTCCTTTGTATGTAATGCATTTGGGTGTTCCGAATTATATTTTAGAGTTCAGATGTGTGCAAAAGAGTTCCCGTGGCCATGCTTATATGCAGTGAAAATGGAACACCATTCGATGCAATATGTCAAAGCATTTCCCCATGAAATAGACACTTTGTTAAAATAAAATTTTAGGTTTTGATACTTATTAAGTCTAAAGTTCCTTCTCCTTAAAGGTGATAAATAAAATATGAAAATGTTTTTTCAATTGTGTGCAAAATTACATACTGTCTTTTCATACATAAATAACACTATGCAAAAGTTGCGCAAACTGTTACTTTTCAGTCAATGAATAGCGATATAGACAACTTCTTACGGTTTTATTGAATTACTCAATTAGCTAATGCAAGGACTGATGGAAGATCCGCCGTGGCGAAGGTCGCGTCCGTCGGCCGCGCAGCATCAGTCTTCCCGGAGACATGTCATCAATCACAGGCCGCTACGTAGTTTCTTCGTACATTATGTATGTACATGAATACGCTACTTTGCTAGAAAAGTTTTATTTACCTATCTAAAGGTTAGGGGATCTTATTTATTTAGTAATAATTGTAGTAGAACTATGTCATGCTTTGATAGGACAAAAATATAACAGAGAATATTAATTCAAAACTAAATTATTAAGCCTATTTTGTAGAATGTTGTAAGTTAGACGGAGATGTCGTATAGGGTAAGGATAGGTATGTTGGCGATAAAAAATGAAACATACGCATTATATAATTCTTGAAAAACAATGCAACAAATCACTTTTCTTTATTACTTTACTTATTATTTGAAGTAACTACCTAGATCACTTATCTCAACAAAACTCTAATAAGTTTTATAATAAATGACAAACAAACATACAAGGTTATCTAAGGTAAGTTGGCGATATAGTCCGGTAGATTGGTGATAGTAGATAGGAAATATGGTGATATTTTGGAAACTGTAATTATATTCAAATATCTAAAAATATTATTGGATACAACGATCACATCTATAATATAGTTGTTCTTCAAGGTCAGTATCTTCTATAGATGCGCATACCTCGTGGGATGGCGTCAAACAATATGAGCATTGGATCCATTTGGCTCCATTCTTTTTTTAACATCTGTTGAGTATAAGACTTCACATAAGCCACACTTCCAATCATCTTCTTCTTTACTTTTTTTGTTTTAGATGCAGATTTACCCGAAGTGGAAGGCTGAGACTGAAGATCTTCTTGCATAACATTTTCATTGGTCAGTGTTAAGCATTTCGCACTAGAATCTCTTTTTCTTGACCTCTTTGGACGTCCTAAAGCTTTGGGTATTTAACTGTGAGTTCTAGTTTTGAAGTACAACTTTCAGATGCTGCGTTTGTTGAAGTTGTAGGTAAAGAAGCAGGAGCAGTGTCAGTTAAAGATGAAGGTCGTAATGCTTCTTTTGGAACTACATTGTCGTTTAAAGGGCATATGCCTGTTTTTTTAAAAGCATTCTCGATGTTTTTTTCAGTAAAGGCGCTTATAAATGCTGGATTCATTATGGAATGGAAGATGCTACGATTTGGAGCATCCCTAGGGTTATCGTTCATGTACCGATTCATGCTGTCGCGCCAGTAACTCTTAAGTGGCTTAAATATTCCTACATCAAGTGGCTGCAATAGATGCGTGCAATGAGCTGGGAAAGTAAATAAATAAACTTGATTATCTTTCGCAACTTTAAGAACTTCTGCTCCAATATGTGCAGAATGTGAGTCCATAAGTAAGACCACAGGACGTTCAGGCGGCATGGCAGTTATAAAAAAATTAAACCATTCGTAAAATAATTCAGAATAGATCCATCCCTTAGGAGATAGTTTAATTAATGCGTTGGGGAGTGCATCATTTTTTTGAGTGTGTCATTCCACCTAACACCTTTAAAAATTATCATAGGAGGAATCCATGTTCCGTCCGCACAAATGCAAGCTAACATTGTTTGAGTTTGACCTCGTTCAGCGTAGGATCTTTTATAAACATACTTCTTACCAATACCGGTAACAACTTTAGATGGTTTCACTACATATGATAATCCAGTCTCATCACAATTCCAAATTAAATTCGGTTTGTTTTTTATATTAAGTTTAGTGAGAAGATCATCTAGTTTCGAAAAGAAATCTTTGATCATAACTTCATTAGCCATAGAAGCTCTAGAAAGATTCTCTGGCACACGAAGGCACAAATTGTACCTACTCTTGAAGCTATTCCACCACCATTTGCTTGCTACGCGATTATCTGATGGTAAGAAGTTCTCCCGACCAGCCAATTCAGCAATATCATAAGCATATTTTCTTATTTGGTAAACAGTTAGCCCAAATCCCAATTCTTACATTTCTATAACATAATTATAAAGTTTTAACTCTAAGTCAGAAGACAGTGCTAAGGCCGCCCCATTTTTCTTACAGAATCCTCTTCATTTTCCAGATAACGCTTCAAAGTGCTCCATGGAACGTCTGCTTCTTTAGCAGCTTTGTATATAGTCTTACCTTCATCTTTTACTAATCTGACAGCTTTTTGAAGTTGCTGCTGATTATATTTTCTATATTTACTTCCTTTTTCCATTGCCAATCTGCCAACCAAAAATTTCGTACAGGTAATTTGGTGATAAAAAAAAATTATAATTAATTCCAAAATAACGTACACTTACGGATTTCTCAAAACAATATCTTTCGAATGATATATTAAACTTTGATGGTTTATTTTAAGTAAAAGAGCAAATTACGTTTAAAAATAGCATTGTAAAATGGTACCTATTTTTTTTTGCTAAAAAACTAAGAAACAACGGTCGCAAATTAAGGAATAAAAACTTACCTTGACTGAATCACGATTTTACTGTAACTTTAGCTTGATGATTGTAAGTTTATTTGATGGTTTTATATAGTTTTATTACTAAATCTGCAATTATTATAACTAAATTCTACCCAAATACGTAAAGCACCCCGAATCCACTAAACAATGGCGCCACAGCTACGCAACTGTCAAAAAAGTTTACTCACCTGACGCTGCGACGACTTAGCGGAGCGCGTGCAATATATCTATCCCCCTCACGCTTGTAACAACTCGATAGCGCTGTCTCACGAACTTGCTAGCATAGGGAATTCCGTGGCATTCCGTATAAAAAATATCACCAAATTACTTATATCACCAATATACCTTTCCTTACCCTATGTGGTACAGAGAGAGCTATGCTCGGTGCTTCTCCGCGTGATAGACTTTGTAATGAGGATATCCGCACTGGAATAACTGACATATTTCAAGGGATAGGTGACAATGGACTGGTCATATAGCCCAATAAAACAACGATCTATTCGGAAGATAGGTTCTCCAGTGGCAGTCTAGTACCGGGAAGAGATTGTAGGGTAGTCTATCACTAGGTGGAATCAAAACTTGTGCTTCGAGTGTATTTACGGGTTCAAATTAGTAGTATTCAAAGTAAAATTATAATTCTACCTATTATTAGATGTCACATATTTATTATATTATTAAATATGTGACATCGTGGTGTATTTCATATGTATTTAACATATGAAATACACCACGACTTCGTGTGGCTTGATGTACTCTTGATTCAGTGGAGACTGGGCAATACCTACTAAACCCACTTATCACAATAAGACTGGAATTCTTATTTGTTGGCAACTAGGTACAAGATCAGGTTAGCACAGTGGGTCGAAACAAAATTATTTCAGCCTAAATATTAAAACATATAAATATAAGAGAACTTAAAATAATCTAATTACTACAAATCCGGCCAAAGCGATAAAAAATATAGCGCAGACTTCAGCAAAACCAGATATATTAAAAATGTTGCCCTTTATGAAAATAAGGTTTCTTCGATTTACAAGTCAAAAAACAAGGTAATTTCGAAGACATCAAAAAGTAATCTACAATTTTTTTAAAGGAATACTAGCGAAAAATAGCAGCTTAATAATACTGTGTTTCGTATGGTGAGTGTAGAGAATCGGATAGCCTTTTTAATTGAAACGAGGCATTTCATCTTAGTCCGCAGGGGTGTTAACGTATCTGCATTTTGATTCTTCATCGAGAACAGATGTAGATGTCTATGAGCCACAGCATCCACTTACCGTCTGGTGGATTGTGTATTTGTTTGTCTCCCTTATTCTTTATAAAAAGATACTCTTTCTTAAAGTGATTATTACAATTAGAGTTAAATAATTGTCCATCAAATACGATTTATCTTCTTACCTTATATACATAAGATCATCATTCCAGACTATTATCAGTAATTTTTTTAATTAATTGTCCACCGTTATAAATTACGGCTTAAGTGTTAAATATTTTTCTATAACCCTACAAAACACCTATGCCACCACTATTTAAAAAAATCTTCTCGTAATTAAATTATATTATACTTCCCGTAAGTATTTTTTTACCCTCAATCTTAAAAAAAATAAATAACTCCTAATTGCATGTAGATGTAATTAAAACCCTTTAATATTGTTAAACACAAACCCTTTAATAGTGCCTTTGCTCATAGTGAATTTTTTTGCCTTTCTTTTGTATCGACATCATAGTTAAAAAAAATCCGTTAACCGTTACAACCTACACAAGTTCACAGCTGAATGTAGGCTTCCCCCATAGATTTCGTCATAGGGTTGACATTTGCTATAGCTGCCACGCTAGCACGGTTTGGAAACCGTAGTTAATTTTTTTTATTTCTTTTTTTGATGTTATTAGGAAGATACTGCTGCCCATCTCCTGTTTTGCCTCCCTTTATCACCTTTTACGACACTCACGGTACGATATAGATATAAGGTAGTGGATATACTTCCACAGCCACTACACGGTTGGTTGCTTATATATAAACACTCTATGTACTACGTATTATAATGTTATGTAGCAACTTATTATTTATTATTTCTATTGAATATTGTTAGAATGTATGTACATGAACTATTAAAATGATAATGTGAAAAAGTCTAAAGTGTCACTTTGTCTGAAATGAAAATAAAGGCTGTTATAATATAAATTATAAGCTTCAAAGCACAAGTTCAAAGGCTGAGTTCGCGATAATAATATTTCTGGTAATACCTTAACGAATACGAGTGTCTTTTGAAGGTGAGTAAATAGAAACCATAAACCATAAAGCGCCTTTATAATTGCAAATAGATCATTGTTTACGATTTTTCTTTGATTCATTTTTCTTTGAAGATCAATTTCAAGTCTAAAGACTTTTAAACTTGATAAAAAAGAAAGCAATTAAAATGCGAATTTTAAAGTGTATTTTCGCAGGGGAAGTGATTTTGCCCGTACAAAAACAATCTCCCTTCTCCCAGGTGCACCCCTTGTTCTGCAAGGTTGATATTAAGCCGAGCGGAACCGAGGAAATTATACAAAAGGTGGATATTCCTTTCCTATTAATAATGTATTAACTTTTAAAAAGTGTTCGTTTAAGGTGTTTCTAATCGAAAGTTCTATTCAAGAATAAAAGTTTTAATAAATGAATTACTTGTAACTAGATTAAATACAAATTAATGTTTCTTTTATGTGGGGAACTATTTTAGTTATTCATTTCAACACTGCATGATAAACGGATATTAGAAGGAATATACATTTATTTATTTATTGGAAAGTGGTGAATTGGTGGGAGACAGTGCGGCAACAATAAATGCTGGACAGAGCGGACAATATTTGCAAACATTTAAAAATTGCATGCTTGCTGGCTTATTTTTAATCTGAGTATAGTTTTTTTCTGAGTAGATAGTAAAATAGAATTTCGAGATGTTAATGTAGATATTATTCGATTAGGTGAAATTAATTATCACGTTGATCTTAAATTCCCACTCAAATTTGCAATCTATTACGACTGTATTGTATTCAAAAAAGTAAGAATGCCTACACTGATCCCTACTTTGTATTTTGTTTTAAAAGTGTTGAGCGTATATTTTAATTACTTACAGGGTATTCATTTTGCCCATTCTTTCATATTTCCATTTAATCCTTTAAAAATAATATTATATTTACTTATCCACGTTAATCTTTCTTTCTCAGCCACGTAATGTGGCTAGAATGACAGTTTGATTCACTTAGCTAGTGTTACACCGTATAAACGTGCCATCAAACATCGGGACTAAGGAGGGGTTGTTTGTAAACGGGGTTCAGTTTTTCAACCTTTCTTCGAACGTGTGTCGGAGTTGTGGATGTAGAATTTCTTAGCGTACATAATATAAATATTCACGATTTTGAAGCTTTTTTGTTGTTTTATTGACAACGACTTTTTTGAGTGATATTTATGTATTTATTCTGGATATCTAACACTAGAATATTTTTTAAAGAATAGGTACTAATAATGTTATTCAGCATCATTACATCCAGTCAAAAGACACTGCTGTGTTTAGTAACAGGGCTGCTTTTAAAATTATTTCCATATTCAATTTGCTATAGTTGGCACGGTTGGCAGTGGGATAGGAAGTTTTTGTAAGCTGTTATCAGAAAGTTGTTACTGCCCATGTCCTGATTCATATTTTCCTGTATCCTCATACAATGTTCAAAGAATAATATGTGGAAGTAGGTATTTTTGTGCCTCCATTGCACTGCTGAACATGCTTTTTATATAACAAAACTGCTGTAAACTTCTGTTACCAAGATGAAAATGCTTGGATAAATTTGAATCCACGACCTTTTGAGTTTCGTAATTCTTACTGTCGCTCCTTTATGAATTGACTTAGAATAAAGGAAAAAAGCAATTGAAGAGTATCAGATCATGTTTTAGTGTAACCAGCTTGCAGTGCAA